CTAGACCCTCTAGAATCTCGCAGCCTCGCGACCGCGAATTCTCTCGAAAGTAAAACGCCAGATGTGTCACGTAACAGACAGGCATTTCCAAATCGTTCCGTCGTCGAAAATGGTGATGCACCGGTTGTCAGATGGATCGACCGATCGAGCAACTCTCTCTCTCTCTCTCTTCGTTGTACAGGGTGAAACGGGAAAATAGACGAGCAAACTTTAATATCGTATTCGGTTCTTCTTAGAGATGAAGAAAAGTCGTATAAAGACAGTTCCGGAAACTCTGCTTTTCCGAGATATTAAATTTCTCTACTTACGACTTGCTTAACCCCTTAACATATGGCAACACGTCAGACTCGTGGCACAGATTCTGGAGAAGATGTGAGGAAAATAGTTGTATCGGTAAGAGAAACGAATAGTAATCCTAATTTTCGTTGAAATTCGTAGGACTGAGAATTGCTAAATGTAGTTAATCTGTGACAGATTAGTTTTTCTTACCTGATGCAGTACTAAAACAGAAAATGGCTGACGCTTAGATGCGCAGTCAGAAAGGAAATCATATGTTAAGGGGCTAAATCTTAAAGAAACTGCTAGTATAAGTTTTTTCACTCGTAACGAAGTATTGTAAGAATGTTTGAAACTTAGAAAAATTGCTGAAAATGATTTCGCAAAATTTCCATCGAATACCTGCTGTCTTAAAATATAAACGCTATACGCGTTGGGAAACTTAGTTGCTCGTAGTATGCAATGGCTGTTTCGCAGCGGGCGACCATAATCGCCGGTAGTATAACAGAGATCGTTTCGTAGCGAGCGAATATAGTCGTGTGTTGTAGCGAAACGGTTCAAGAAGAACAGAATACGATACTGTAGATTGGTTAGCTATTTTCGTTACACCCTGTATAGCTGTTGGTTGCCCCATGCGTCGAGTCACCCACTTTCCTCGACTCGCACGCAACGGAACCGCATTATTAAGACGGATTTTGCAACGACCACGTGTCCGGTCTGCGGCCTTGCAACGATCTCTCTGCAAAAGGTGGGTGGAAGTGACGCAAAACCGTTCCTCCTGGCGATAAATGCCGGTGTTTCGCAACGTCGCGCCGCCGGGGAGCGGCGTCCCTGTAATCGGATCAACGGAGACGTACGTCCTTCTGGCTACCTTTTGTTTCATGAGCAAACAACCGCTTCATAACTCCGGTGCTCCGATAAAATCTCTGGTCAGACCGTTATTCGGATACGCTTTCAGTGTTTATTTTACTGCTGGTTCGTGTTGTACGGGATGTCCGACTGTTGGGGCGTTTGGGCTTAAGATTGGAGAAATATCGAATGGGAGTTTAGAGGATTTGGAATGTTTGATTTTTGACAAGGTGTGTACGTTTGGTAACGGTGTTTCGGGATTTAGAAGAGTTATCGGGGAATTTTTTCGAATGAATATTTACATGTTTTTGTGGAAAGATAGGGAGGAATTGTTTAACGCGTTCAAGAGGGATTTTAATTATTTTTTGAGGTCCAGTGGGAATAGAACAAGGAACAATTTGCGATGAATTGTTTGTAGTGAACTAGATTTAGCATATTCAGTTTTAACGATGACACGTGAATTTTTTTGGAGAAAAAAATATTGTCAACTGTTTAGCTTCCTTTCTGCACACAAATTTTGGGATGTTTTAAATTATTGAATTTATTCATGTTAATACAAAGTTTGCTTTTGGGGTTGTATCGTTTTATACGGAGTATTTCTGATTCGTAGAGAAATATTGAAAAATTGTTTGCATATTAGGGGAAAATTGGAAAATTCAGAAGACTTGAATTTTGATTTTGACCAACTTCAAAAAAAAATTAAATTAAATATTTCAATTTATTCTTTCAATATTTTTCATAATTTAATTTATAAAAAAAGATTGACCCATATTATTTCTCGTTTCACCGATTCAATTAATTATTTGTTCTCCATTTAAACAGGAGTGCAGGGCATTTTGTCGAGCATCGAATCTGTATCCATATATTTCCAAAAAAAAGCAAAAAAAAACCGTGTTTTTCCTCTTTGAACACCGCCGTCTAGCTTTACAAACCAACGATTCGCCAGTTTTTTCCATTCATCTCCATGAATCAACGCGGAATCAGTTTAACAAACCCGCGGTTCTCTTTCAGAGCGCGACACACGCAGTCATTTCGCTGGACGAGAACATGATACGCGTAATATTAGAAATATTTCAATGGCGGCGCGCCGCGAAATATGCAAATGCCACGGGGGCTCGCGTTTCTTTACGCTTACCCTATCGCGCGTAAAATACGGGAATGCTTGTTGCGTGGTCATTTACCAGCCGTAATGGAGCGCCCCGGAAAATTTATGCGGCTTTAAGCTTGCATTTTTGAGCTCGTACTTTCACGCTGAAGCGTCTCGCCGTTTTTTCCCACCTAGACGATATATAAAGCTCGTAAAGAAGGATGTCTAGGTGACGAATGAGAAACGATAGAGTGGGAAAAATTGAACGGGCCGTAAAATAAATTTGATTAACAGTGCGATATATTTGCGGAATAATTATGCGAATTTTCTACGTTTCTTTTGTGTTTGGTGATAGTTGGAGGTATTTGAAGAATTTCTGATCTATTTCCTCCTTCACGATTCTCTAGTAATTATACTCTTCGAAATAGAATGGATTACATTTTAATAATATTATTACGAAAAATTACTATCAAAGTTACTAATATCATTATGAAAAATTAATTTTAAAGTTAGTAATATTATTACGAAAAATTAATTTTAAAGTTAACAATGTTATTATAAAAAATGAATATGAAAGTTTGCTATAGAAAAGGCGGGTATCAAAGGAGTTAATTTATTTATGTAGGAATTAATTAATTTGTTTAGATATTACTCGTTTATTTTTCGTTACTGTATTCAGTTGGCAAACGCGGTTAGAACGGACATTAAATTCTGTCCGCGAAATGCAAAAGCAACGTCAGAATTGGCCAGGGAGTGGAAAAGGAAGAGGAGGGAAAATGAGTTGGAGGATGCAAGATCGAACATTCAAATGGACTTAAATGCGCGTTCCTTCTTTTTACCGCGGACAAAGTAAAAGGGTAATTACGGGAAAAAACTCGCCGGCTCGGTATACGCGAATAATTCTTTTCACGTTCATCGACTGCCATGGGTAATTTGCTGGACAGAACGAGTGTCTGAGCTGCGCTTTCCTCCAACAAAGAACCGGTATTTTCATCGAGTTAGACTTCGGGACGGTAATTCCCGAGTAAATTCGATTACAGCATTAAAACATGAATTAAGGAGATGTTCGATTATTTGGAACCCACTGCAGTCATCATTTTCCCCGAGGAAACGATAAAAGTGTGAATTATGGGAGGGAAGCATGGCGAGGTTTCCTTCGAATTCTCTCGAATATTTCGTTCTTTTAACACGGAATCAATCGATGATTCAGTTGAAACAGAAATGAGATACAATTTTGTGGGAGATTGAAAGAGGTGCAAATTACTTTCTCAAATTTCTGTCCGGGGAAAAGAACGAAGCCAAGCATGTTAGCGGGGAACGTAGTGAAAAGAAAACTAGCTACTTTTTCGTTCCTTTCAGCGTGAAATACTAAAGTCTCGGAGATATGTCGTAAAGCGGCAAAAATTTCCTGTAAAGTAAAGCGTAGACAAATAGAAATGAAATTTTTATTTCAAACAGAGCGAAAGAAAATGTGAGAGGAGACTAAAATATTCTATCCGCCAAAATTTACACCGTTTGTAAGTTTCCTTTCAAAACTGAAGCAACTAAAATTCATTATAAATAGTTTACGTGGAAAAGAATAAAATTGAAGTATATCTATCTTGAAAAAAAAGAAAACAGAAAATATAAGAGAGCAGAATAGAATATCGAAGAGATTCAACATCGTACACGAGCTGAAAGAAGCGCAATAGTTCCATCGTTGGGGCAGGAAGAAGGGATTTTGACCGACATCGGTGAAATCGTAGCGACGCTTTATTTATCGCGCTTTATTTGCATTCTCGCCGGGTTACACGCGATTTTTCGTGTCCTCCGTTCTCCTCCTTTTTCTGTTTCCCTTCGTGTACGGAGGTGAAACGTGTTCGAGCGGCTCTCGGGTCCGGCAACCTCGGGAAAACATTCCTCCGCATCGACACGAAAATCGCATTCGGCCGGGCCGTGGCGCAGCTCGCGAATTTATGACACGACGACGTGTCTTTGGCATGCTCCGGAAAATATTGACGGCCTCGTGCGACACGCCAACATTGCGAGGAATATTTCCAGATCCGAGAAAAAAGGATTTTCCTCCCTTCACCTTGCGCGGATGTTTCGTTGTTTCTGTTCGTGGCTGTAAAAAGGGTTTAATAAAAAGTACCTTATTTCTGTGACGACTGGTTTCAATCGGAAAATTCTTTTTATCAGGAACAGAAATATTTATGGGTAGGTTTTAAGGAAAATTTTCAGTTTGGATAGGAGTATTATTTTTATCAGGAACAGAAATATTTATGGATAGTTTCTACAGAAATTTGGAAGTGACGTGGTGCAAATGATTACTCGCCAAGTGGGTAACGAAAATATATTTATTTAAACGTAATGCTTAACTAATTTCAAATGTACTATGTGATGTGCGTGCAGAGAAGCTCTACGACAAAAGGCATCGCGCCTTTTTCGGGGCTCCCTTTTCCCTGGGAAAGTCCCAGGAAGTGGGGGCGCAATACTCTTGTCTTCGAGGACGAAGAAACTCGGAGATGTTTGGAAAAACGTCTCTCGATTCTTCGCCTCGAGGGCCAAGAGTCACCAGGCCCAAGTGCGTGGCCCCCCAGTGGCGGTCGCCACAGAAAATTTTCAGTTTGAATGGGAAAATTCTTTTCATCAGGAATAGAAATATATGTGGGTAGTTTTTAAAGAAAATTTTCAGTTTGTTGTTGGTGAAACGTTTCTATGCTGTTTAAATTTAGCGCGTTATTAGGTTCCACTGAATCTATACAACCAAAATGTAGTATTTTTCAAATGTCTTTCTTTTCTTCATGTTCTCGCTAACAAACTGTTAATAAAGAAATCAAATAAGATTGTACACGGTTATCGATAAATTAGAGTGTTGAAGAGGTTTCCACGCGTTAAAGTAAACCGGACATTTAATTCCTGCATCAAATTATCATAATTGTTTATTTTGAGCAACAGCGTTGTAACAGTAATCGTTTGTAAAGCTAAACAATGACTTAATTAAGTGTCTGTTTCCAGAGAAGTGGGGAAAATATCCAGATCATTGATGCGGTTTCATATACCGTTTCGAAACGTATTACTACTATCACGAGTACGTTACCACGTCGATTAATTGAATTATACAAACGCAACGCGGTGGACGTGTGATAAAACGAAATATCGAGTTATATCGAATATTTTAAAGTGGTTACCAATTCCGTCCAACAATTCGATATCCTGTTATCTTCCAAAAAATCGTTCCACAAAGTAGGCGGCGAATTCAATTTTTTCATTCAAATTCGATCGTTTTCTTCTGTCAAACTTTCTCAGCAGGCGTGTCACGAGATGAAAAATGACAATTCTACCTTTCGAAGCAAATCGAACCGCGGAGACAATCGAGGCGTACAGAAACTACACGATGTAGCTAGCAATTATTCGGAATATCCAGACACGTGTTCCCTTCGATTACGTTAATTTCCGTGAAATCTCGCGGCGCAATAACACGCTTAGTTGCTATTCAAATTGCTGCAAATATAACGCGTTTCGGGGATCTCGTTCAACGTTCGCCTAATTTCATCCCCGAGCGATCGACCGATTTTATCCATTTTTCATCCGGTCCCGTGAAATTTTCAACGTGTTACCGTAAGTACGGTACCCTTCGGTAGCTAGACTCTCGGTTAACCTTCCCCCCTCGAACGATTAGAATATACATTAGAGAATAGCCGGTGCTTCATGTTTTATTAATAAACAACCGGTGAACACTCTGAGGGGCAAACAAGTGCAACAGCCTGCATGTATATTTATAGACGAAGCTGGGTCCGTCGTTTATTCTTTTCGCGGCGGAAGCGATAGAGCAGTAAGAAGCGCGATTAAAGAAGAAAAACTGGGGGAAAAAGGGCGAAGAAGTAGAGAGAGAGAGAGAGGGTGGATTGGTGAGATTCAGGTTTAATGCTCCCTTAGCGAGGTTTCATTCTTTCCGGCATTTTGCTCGCAGGCGAACTGGTACAGGGCGTCTCAGTATTGCCGGTATCACGGGATGCATCTGGCGAGTATAGCGTCGCAGGAGGAGAACGACAGGCTCGAGAAGCATATTAAGGACTTCGGCCTTGGACACGAGCACTTTTGGACCTCTGGCACAGATCAGGCGGAGGAGGGCACTTTCTTCTGGATGGCAAACGGCAGGCCCATCACGTTCGAAAATTGGAACGTCGGCGAGCCGAATAATTTCAGGTACGTGTCGTACAATATACAGGGTGTCCTGTGTAACTACAATACTAGGATGTGCGATCTTTAACCCTTTGCTGTAATACTGGTTAAATGCTCATTATTTCAGGCCTGTACTTCAATTTTTTTTTGTAAAACAGAGTCGTCTGAAAATTACACTTTCCTTAAATACACGTACTTACGTGAGTTCGTATTTATTAGTTGGAGAAACGTGAGTTTATTGGCTATAGTGAACGCATACACGAGTCGATCGTCCTGAAAGGGTTAAAGCAGTTACATATTTTTTTATTGGAACGAATCGTGACAAATCTAAAGACTACACGTGTGTCGCAAAACACAGAAGCAGTATAGAAAAAAATCAATAGCAGCGTTACACAACTTCTGGTCACATTTTATACTTGTGTCAATTTTTGAACGTGTGTGTTGCTAGATTTATCGTGCTTCGTTCTGATAAAAAATATTTGAAAATGGTGTATCAATTTTAGAGCCATTTGACGTGATTCCAAATGGTGTCTTAACGTTGTTATTACATTGTCTTGCATTTATTAATTCACTTTACGCCTTCTCTTCCCATTATTATTCCAGTTCGAATGAATTATGTTCTTAGTGTGATTATGCAAATTGCAATGCAATTTTTAGTATCTGTGATTTAACGAATAATTAAATTTGAACGTTAATATCTATACTGAAGGTGTTATAATTTATAATTTATATATAATTTATGTAACAGATTTACTATAAAATTGAAGTCCGCGTTGTACATAAAGGTACCACTCTTCCCATTATAATTCCAGTTCGAATGAATTATACTCTTAGTGTGATTATGCAAATAGCAGTGCAATTTTTAATATCTGTGATTTAACTAATAATTAAATTTGAACGTTAATAGCTATACAGAGAAAATTATAGTTAACCCTCTATGGGCCGAATATTTTTTTTGACTGTAAAAGAATTTATGTAACATAAAATTAGCAAATATCGACCTATAAATACAGAATAACAGTGAATTCAGCAGTTTCGACAATTTTATCATAACGAATACATATTGTAACTTTGAAGTAAGAACGGTTATCAAGAAAGTTACTGGTTAATAAGGAGACATTGTACAACAAGACGTTTGTGCCATTCTGTGGAAGGAAGTTCAATTATTTAATAAAATATCGATATATTAGTATGTGACTTGATAGAGGGTTAACTTATGTACAATTTATGTAATCAAATTTAAGTCCATGCTGTACATTAAGGTACCATTTTTTAAAGTCGTCTAGATGGAGCATTAATCAAGATACCACCGCACAATTCTCCTTCACAAATAAAACACGACAGAATGTTAATACGTGCGTCATCTTTTTCCAATGAAATTGCACAAAGCCTACCTTCCTTCAACCTCCCAAACTCTCACATCTCACTAACATCTTTCCCAAAATACAACTAACACTCCAAAAAAAAACAAAAAAGAAAGAACACAAACGTTCCCAGTAAAAAGCTCGCATTCCTCAAATTTCCACCAAACCACATGCACCATCCAAAACAATTTCCCCCGTTTTCCTCGCGACTGCGATACATCGTTTGAAAAGTAAAACAAACTACTTTACACCGTTTCCGAAATAACCGAAACGTTTCTCTCCCACGCGATAAGGATCACCCTAGCCGGAGGAAATTTCCGCACAAAGGGAAACACCATAACTCGTGCGTTTTCGTTGCAGATACGAGAACGGTGAGGAGGAGCACTGCCTCGAGCTGTGGAATAGGGACGGCAAGGGGTTAAAGTGGAACGACAGCCCGTGTAGCTTCGAGACGTTCTTTGTCTGCGAGGTGCAGTGATCGATCGATCGACCAACAGGGAAGACGAAAAACGGATACGAAAGTCATCGAGCCCCACGCGATTCGATTCACGATACACATCGACTTACTTACCTACCGTAGTCATCCTGCCGGCTATTGCCCCATCGATTTCCTTCCGTTTTTCCTCACGTCGCGAGACGCCCGAACAAAATAGAAAAGTGACTTCGCCTATGTGTGTGTATGTGTAGTTTTACGCGTGTACGTGTGTGTATGTGTGTGCAAGAGCGTTTCGAATATATATATGTCTGATGGATCGATGGTTGATCCTGCGAGTGAAGTAATCACGTCAGGACGAGATGCACGCAACGATCAGGCGAGTTTCACACGGTTGTTGTTTTTATCCGTGAAACAGAAGCCTCTGTACTTGTTAGACTTTTATCTCAAACTGCACGCTCCTCCGACGGTACATATTCTATTTTTGCTAATGTGGAATCTACGTGTGTTCTACTCGTTTCTAAGGATTTAGAGGAAGTAGAGATAATGCGAACGATGGTTTCCGGTTGGTGGATAGATAGTGACGAAAAGTTGGGTCGAACGGTGTGCTTTGTTAACGTGCGATTTTATATTCTTTCACCTTGTCTCCGTGTTTCTTTCTTCTTCTTCTTTTATTCGTAGGTAAGGACACTTGCTTTTTCTTTTTACGCGTAAGAATTAGGAAGTAAGGACTCGTAGGATTTAATTTCGACGTTAATTAGCGGCGATAAGTTAGCCGTGCATCGTTAATGCAAAAATGCCTGTGTTTTGGAGTTAATAGATAAGCTGGAGCTTGCGTTTCTCTGTTTTGTAGTAGAACGGGTGAGAGATTGTGGTTGTACGGTTGATAGTGGTTCCAGTAGATACGAACGATGGTTAAACCAACGATACGCAGTCGAGGATGATTGAGATTCTGCGAATCGAGGGATTTGTTAGTGAGAACGAAGAAATTCGTCGATACCGTAGAATTTCTAATTTTCCGCGACAGTATTGTGCACTTGTTTTTTTCTTCTTTCTTCTGATTTCATTACCAAAAGCTCGTTGCAAGCGTTAAGGAGACACGGGGAGAAATCAAAAGACTTTTACAGTTAACGTGTGAATTAACGACCGATTTAACCGAGTAACGTAACCATTTATACCATTTTTCTCTAATTAATATCAGAATTGCAAGAAAAGAGATACGCGCGTGAATCGATCGTCGAAAGTTACACGCCGCGTGTCGTGTAATTAACGATCAACGTTTAATATGTACGCGACGAGCGGAATTCCACGAGAATTTCCGTGTTTTTACAAGTTTGTCCGAGTGGAAAATCTCGACGTCGGGAACGGCGTTTTGTACATCACATCATTTAGCGTTATACAATAAAATCCAAGTTACATTTTAACGTGCTTTAATACTCCTCGTTTTCCTCCGTCAATGGGATGCTGGAACGAGATCGTTCGAGTTATTTCACATCCGCGTAATTTTACCATCGCTCGTCGATTTCAGTTGTTAAATGGCCGAAGTTAAGGTGAAGCTGATGGAACAATTGATCGTTTCATTTTTTCGCCATTTGAATTAACGAGGCGGAAATAATTTCAGTTCTTTGTGATCTTTCTTTTGTCGATCCATTATTTTACGCTTGTTAATCTCTCTCTTTGTAAATGGTAATTTAAGTGGGATTGCATTACGTATATTTTATGAATCTTGCGAAGTTTTTTACTTAGGAAGGATACAACGGTAGGTGATTTCATTAATTCTCTTAATTTACGTTTAACTCGCTATTTACGATTTTGTGAACTTTTAGAATTGAAGAATACAGTATGGACCTTTATCAGACAGCGGAGGCGGAAGAATTTAGCAGTGATCGATAATTTCTTGTCCAGAACAAAGTAAAGAGAGAACAACTCCAAGAAATGTACATACAGAGTGTCCAATTTTAATCAATCCGCGCAATTATCTTTCAAACTACTCGTCATTTGAAAAATGTTTCATATAGAACTTACTTAGGAGGATACTCGTTAAAGTAAGCATAAAATTGATTGGAATTTTCTTAATTTTAGAGTCTAGTAAGGAGTGCCTTAGTGTTAGGACAGCAAGGGGACGATTTTATGATACGTGATTTCTAGTTCAGCAAACCGTTATTTTTAATTTAGCAGACCGGTCTGCAGCCAACATGCGGCACCTAGAATTTCTCAAATATTAAAGAATAGGCTATTGTTCAGTCGGTAAGGCAAGGTATCATAAAGTCACCCTCAAAGGGTCTTCGGAACCGATGTAAGTACCGAGGCCTCTCGGTACCTGACCTTCCGGACGAGTCGGAAAGTCAGAGTTGACCTGGCCGGGTTTTCCCCCCTTGTTATCAAATTTCCATCCAACAAGGACCAGCTTCGTCACCCCCGCTCCAAGGACGTGACGCGCTCCGACCATCAGTTACATTAGGAATCTTAAGGATTCAGTCAGACTTTGAACGCAATACATTCAGTCTTCAGACAGCACCTAGTGCAATACTCGAAGCACGCGGAAATTAGTACCCGAGTGCTTAACACTTAGCAACAATTATTCCAAGTGACTGTTATCGGGGCTTGGAAACATTGCCGCAGGATCCATACTTTACTGAACGCAATACATTCAGTCTTCAGACGGCACCTAGTGCAATACTCGAAGTACGCGGAAATTAGTACCCGAGTGCTTAACACTTAGCAACAATTATTCCAAGTGACTGTTATCGGGGCTTGGAAACATTGCCGCAGGATCCATACTTTAAATCGAATGGTACTTGAACGGGCGAAACGTCAGAAATCACGGAGCTTTTTATTGGAAGAGTTCAATTTGGAGGTTCTGAGAGAGACCAGAGAGATTGTTCTGCCCAAAACGGAGACAGTGTCATCGAGAGTATCGTCAGGAATGAAGTATTATCGGGTTAGTTGATTTTTAAAATAGAAATTCTTTGAATTTTTCGCTTTTGGCAATAGTTATTGTTAATTAGAACATAACTGCGTGTAGTAAGCAGATTAAACTTGATAATTGTGACAAATTTTTCATTGCTTCAACATTATCAATGATGTAGACAGTAAAATAAAGTTTCTGTTTCACTTTCAAGTACTTTGACTATAGAATAATTAGTATTTCTTGTTAAACAACAATTTACACGATTGTTTATAATTATTGTAAGCCTTAAATAATATTATCGCACGTTTCAGCTTAGTAAAACAGCCGAATATATTAATTTTGCTTTGAATTAACCATTGCATTCGATGTATTAGTCAGAAATTGTTTATAACTTTTATTAAAAATTAGAAAAATTAATGTTCATTGTGTTTGCGAATTACAGATGGACCTTCCAGGGCACTCTAGATATCAAGGAAAGGACTTGAACATCAGGAAAACTGAAGAAATGCAATTATTTATGAACAAATCAGTTATTTATTGTGAAATTATTGTTTAAAATGTGTGTTACAAAAGGTTACAATATACCAGTATTGTTTTACAGCATTTTACAGTCTATTTATTGCTACCTTACACTCCAAATCCATTTGTTTTTGCAATAAACCCATTGTTTAAACAATTTTACGTTGCGAAATTGAATAAATCAATGGCAGACACCACCAGCAATGCGTTTTCATCGAAGAAATTGAAAAAATCCCGAAATTCGAGCGAAAACTACGAAAATTCAAGAAAGTTTTCGAAATTCGCGCGAATACACTCGTTCGGTGCTAAAGTCCTCGAGAATTCCTGGAATTTACGTCATTTCTCGGAAATGACCAAATTTCTAAGAATCGAGGCGATTCCGAGAATTGACCAATGGGCCTTCGAAAATTTCAGTTCTCGAGAATTCCTGGAATTTTCGCCGTTTCTCGGAAATGACCAGATTTCCAAGAATTGACCAATGGGTCTTCGAAAGTTTCAGTTCTCGAGAATTCCTGGAATTTTCGTCATTTCTCGGAAATGACGTGATTTCCAAGAATCGAGTCACTTCCAGGAATCGACCTCCTATCACATCATGTTTGCCTGTTAGAAAGTCGATTTTCGTCCAAAGGGTCTCCGAAAATTTCAGTTCTCGAGAATTCCTGGAATTTTCGTCATTTCTCAGAAATGACGAAATTTCCAAGAATCGACGCGATTCCAAGAATTGACTAATGGGCCTTCGAAAATTTCGGTTCTCGAGAATTCCTGGAATTTTCGTCATTTCTCAGAAATGACGTGATTTCCAAGAATCGAGTCACTTCCAGGAATCGACCTCCTATCACATCATGTTCGCCTGTTAGAAAGTCGATTTTCGTCCAAAGGGTCTTCGAAAATTTCAGTCCTCGAGAATTCCTGGAATTTTCTTCATTTCTCAGAAATGACGAAAATTCCAAGAATCGACGCGATTCCAAGAATTGACTAATGGGCCTTCGAAAATTTAGGTTCTCGAGAATTCCTGGAATTTTCGTCATTTCTCGGAAATGACGTGATTTCCAAGAATCGA